TCACTCAGACGTCTGGTAATTGGTGCTGGGGCTATTGCCCAAAACACCCTATACGTGGCCTCTCCACATGACCTGTGCTTCCCTGAAGCAAGTGTCCTAAAAAAGGAAGAACCAATCTGAACGTTTAACCACCTTGACAACCTAGCCTTGGAAGCCCAGAGCACCACTCCCCCACACTCTGCTGGCGGAAGCAGCGGCAAAGGCCCACCCAGGTTCAGGGAGAGGGGACAAAGATTCTGCCTCTTAATGGTGGACTGACAGGTCACACTGCAAAAAGAACATATAGATGGAAGAGATGTTGAAAATACACTCTGCTACAGCTGTAACAATCCTGCCAAAACAGTTGACATTCCTCAGCATGCAAAATGCCCCCATGCTCTCCCCAAGGTCCCCAGGGCTCACTCCATTATGGCATCAGCTTGACCTCTGGGTCTTTTCATCTAAAGCAGGTCCAGACACCAGTGAGACTCCGTAGGTATGGTTCCTCTTCTACGGTGTCTCCACTAAAGACCTGGAACCACAGTGACACGTTATCTGCCACTTAAACACTCAACAGACGATGGTGGGACAGGCCCAAGACAACTGCTCTACACGCTACTGTTCAAAAAAGGAGAAAACAGGAGGCATCCAGAAGTAACTGGATCAGAGCAAATTCTCAGCTGTACATACAGCAGATCTGAAATGCAAAAATTTACATTTATCCTTATAAATTTTCATTTTCTCATTCTAAACCCCAAATTAGTTACTCTTTGACCTGGGGAGTAGTAAGTGGAGGAGAGATGAACCTCAGGAGTGGGTGAAGGAGGAAATGGAGGATCATCTTGATTCCTGTTATGGGCATTTGACTGCACGTGGTCAAGAAGGTTGATGGGTTGGGGTGTCTTCACTGCCACGCCCTCCAGGCCCAGCCCACTGGCAAATGACCACACAGCACTAGACTTACGTCTTCTCTAAATAAGCTGGGACATAGACTTCGCTTTGATCCAGTGTTAGTGCCAAGCGGGGAGCACGTGGGCGTAAGGCTGTCAGCAGCCATATTCTCCATCCCCAGGGGGAAGCCATCTGCAGAATAAAGCCAGCGCAGCAGTGGGCAGAGCCAAGGCCTTGAGTGAACAGAGCCCCAGTGATGCCATTTCAGCCAGACTTCTACCCCAGGACCTTAAGCCAATAATGAATTCTCTACTTTGCTTAAGATATTTTGGGTTAGATTTTTATCACTTGCATTGAAAAGTGTCCTCATACACACCCTTTTCCTCCCCAAGTTCTCTGTTTTCAGCTATGCCTGACCCCCCTGGACTCTCTCCATCCTCCTACAAGAAGGAGGCCCCCTGAAGTGTATACATCCAGCCTCTCATCATGGGCCATTCCTCCAGTTTTTCCAGGCTCTGGAAACAACTGGAAAGAAATCACAGCTCACACATGGCAACTGTCTCTACTCAGACTCAAGCCTGCCCCACCCCCCAACACTGACCATGACAGTGAGCAATCCCCCGAGTGCACACTCACTGCAGAGAAAAGTGCTAGGACGGCCTCACAAGATAGCTGCACGCTCGGCGCAGACCACCCCGGATGCTGCCCTGCTCACGACCAGCCACCCTCTGCCTGTCAGCTCCTCTTCTTTATGACTTGGAAGCTGCTGGTATCGCCAATGTCAGCAGGAAATGGCTCTTTAATCACTGCAAAGTCCCTCCTGATTGTAAAGATTAGATTAACCTCAGACTGTAGGGCCTCCTCTTCCAAGATAACTGGGATTGTGTACGAGAGCGATGAGCAGCGATGAGCAGCGATGAGCAGCGGCCTGCACTCACAGCTTGGTTGGATTACAAGCATTCTAGGCCCACATGGAACCCAGGGCCTCAGACGGCAGGGGTCTGAGAACAGAAGACTTTACGCACTAAAGGCTGGGGGTGTGAAGGAGGGTCTAAGATGCTGGATGCAGCAGAAAAGGCTGAGTGGCTGCCATTTACAAGCAAGCAATTTGGGGACATGATCTCTGATGCCCACCAAAATCCATGGCTTTCCCATTCTGCACTTTGAACCCAGAGCAGCCTACCTATGAGGCATGACCCAGGGGAGAGACAAGGTATCTTCTTTCAGTCCCTAAATATAAGCCACCCATGTGCATGGACACTCTAGTGGGCTGCAGGCTGCAGCACAGCTGGGATTCACTACAGCCGTACCAGCTCCCAGTGTGAAGCTAGAGCTCCACCTCCTTCCTCCCTTCTACCCAAGAAAGCCACTGTCCGCTTCAGCTTATTAACTGTTGTCATTAACAAGCCACCTGTGGCACAGCTCACACCAGATTCAGACACCCAATATGGCAGCCATCACCATCTGAGCAGCTGACTCAACCAGCCAATGGTGTGGGCCTGTGTCACGCGTTCATTCCAGCGAGGCCTCCCCTCTGGTACTGCCTTCAGAGTTTCTTCAATCAACATCACCTCCCTGATGGTAGGTCTTCAGCCTTTGAGTGAGCTTGAAAAACAGTGGATCCTCACATATTGGAAAGCCTGTTTCCAGGCAGTACCCAGGAGATTCTCTACTGCCCCAGGAGGTGGGGTTAACTGCCTCTTATGACACATTCATTTACTTTTTAAGCCCCTACTGTGCACCAGACACTCTTCTAGTAGTGACCAGCACAAAGTTCCTTGTCTCAGGGAACTTACACTCTAGTGGAGAAAGAAAGACATTAAAAAATAAGCCTCACATGTATGCATATGTATGACTGAAACATGCTGCACACCAGAAACTGGTAAATTGTAACTAACTATATTTAAGTAAAAAATTAATTAATTAACCAATTAAAGAAAATAAACAATAAGGTCCTATGGTATAGCACAGGGAACTATATTCAATATCTTGTAATAATCTATAATAAAAAGAATATGAAAAAGAAAAAAGCCGAATAAATGTATCCATTAACACAGTACATTATAAGGTAATAAATGCTATGGAAAAAGACAAAAAGAGCAGGGTAAGCGGGTCAGGCTGCAGAATTAAACAGGGTGTACAGGTTTTGCTTCACTGAAAAGGTAAGATTTGAGTAAGCACTCAAAGAAAGTAAAGAGTTTTTGCCAAGGGGACAAAGAGGGAACAGTGTTCTGGGCAAAGGGAACAGCCAGAGCAACGGCCCTGAGGCAGAACATGCGTGGCACCCGTGAGAAGCAGCAGCAGACACTGGGACTGGGACAGAATGAGCGGGGCGGGGGGCGGTCAGTGGGGAGGAGACTGGAGAGGAACAAACTGTTCCAACCAGAGGGAACAGGTCCCACCCAAGGCCCGAGATGCAGGACCCTCACAACTCAAGCAGAACACAAGTCCCTCACCTGGAGCCCCAGCTACTCCCCCTGCAGATTCAAGGCACAAGGGCCTTCTGCTCCCATTAGCCCTCCCCCTGCCTTTGGTCCCCATCATTCAGCCAGCAGACCCAGGATCCATCCAACACACAGCAGAACAGGATGCTCTCTCTGGCCCCCCATGGAAACCATCCTGCCACTCCCTCCCCCGGCCCCACAGCCGATAGGAGGGCTGACAGCTGTGAAGAACTGAAGTACAAAACTCATCAAGTTGAAGTCCTTCCCTCCAACCCAGGCCCAGAAATCTCAGATTACAGATCCAAGCTCCTGGGATCTCCCAGTCAAAAGCCAGCACCCAGGAGGTAGGGGCCAGCCAGGCCCAGGAGGTGGAGTTCTCACCTCCCAAGCAGCCAGGACCCAGCGGCCATCTGGCCAGCCCTCTCGTGCCAATCAGCGGCAGGCAGGCTGACACCAGGACTGCCAGGGCATCAGGGCTGCAGGAGGCATCTGAGGCAATGCTCCCCAACTGCTCAGGCGTAACTGAACCAGGCCTTCGCAAAGGGGGAAAGAGCACATTACCAAGCCCCAGCTGTGCCAAGAGCTCCTTGGATCCATCTTCTTCCCAAGCCTCACCCTCTCCTTGGTCTCAGCCTGTTACAGCTAATGGCTCTATTGCCATCCAAGTTTTTTTGCTTGGCAGGGCCCAGTGGTTGGCTGACCTAAACCAGCAGTGACAAGTGGCTACACTCAGTCTGGAAGTGTCAAGCTCACTGCCACCTTTCAGCAAACCCTGCCTCCACCTCTTCTCACACACACAGACGGCTTCCACGCCATGGGCAAATCGGAGCCTTGAAACCACTCTCAGAGGCAAGAGGACTAATGGAAGATGCTTACATGAGTCACTGGGACGATGGCAAAGTCACTGGTTCTCTCTGGACCTCAGTTCTCCTTCTTATAAAATGATAGGGTCCAGAAGTCACCATTGGAGGGACTGTTACAGCGATGAGATTACAGAGACAATTTAGTGCTCTGACTCGAGAACAAGGAAGGACTCTAACTGCAGGAGAGAGCTGAGGGAGTCAGAGGCCTGGATCTGAACTGCTACTCAGAGGTTGCTCAAGAAATAAGAGGGAGTGAGAAAAAGAAAGAGAAACTCTCCCCAGAATTATCCTTTGGCTCAGACTCCCAGTGGAGGCAGAGTATGGGACTGAAATAAAGTTCTGAGATGGGGTTTGGAAGCGGAGCGGCACCCTCATTCACTGGGGTCAACTTCAGCAGATCTGGGGGCTTAGAACTCTGATTGTCAGGAGCACCAGGAGCACAGCTGTGAGTAAAGAGGGTAAAATCAGGGAGTTTCCTCCATGCGGCAGAAGGTTGATGAGAAGGTAGCTGCAAGAGAGACGCGAGTCTGAGCCTCCAGCATCTCTGAAGTAGGAAAGCAGGTGGAAGAGACTGACTTTGGATGAGAAGGGTAAAGAGTCTGGTTTTGCACCTATCTGAAGTTTAGACTGGAAGTCAGGAAAGAGGTCAGGGTGGAGATACGTGTTTGGGAGATGTCTGCAAAAAAAAGATACAAAAAATGAAATGGAGTGGATGAAAGAGAAAAAAATCTAGAAGGCATTTTGGAATATACTGGAGAACATTGCATTTAAGAGTTGAGAGTTGAAAGAAGGCCAAAGAATGAGAAAAGGAGGCAAAGAAGGGGCATCCAGGGAGGAAGGAAGGGTCAGGGTGACACTGAAGCAGGGCAGCCAGGAGTGCTGCTCATCAGATAGTCCTGCCTCCCTTCCAGGAGCCTGGCAGGACTGGCATTCCTGACTCTCCTTTGTAGCTAGTGGACACATGACTTTTTTTGGCCAACGAGCTGTAAGTGAAAGCATTTGTCACTTTCAGCTGGACATTTAAAGCTGATGTGAGGCACACAAGAGCTCCCTCTTCTCGGCTGCAACGACCATGTATGTTCCGGTAGAGGCTGCTCTGCGGGTCCAGGAGCGAGAGGACATGGAGCAGAACCAGAGTTCATCAGGAGTGAGAAGTCAACTTATTTGCTTTAAGCCACTGGGATCGTTGGTAACCGCAGCACAACCCAGCCTTTGCTGACTGATGCCAATGGAGGAGTTTCTAGAAGGAAGATGGTGGCCAACAGTGCTGAATGGAGCAGGAGCATGAGGACTAGGAAAAGTTGTGGGGTCTGGCAAACAAGTGGACATCAGTGACCCTCATGCTTGGGCTGTGGACACAAAAACCAGACTGCAAGGTGTTAAGGAATGAAGTCTTGAAGGCAGAAGATGTAGACTTTCAAATAGCTGGGGGGATGTCAGAAAAGAAATGGGGCAGCATGAGGGCCAGCAAGGTAAGAGAAAGGCTGACACTTTTATTCCTAAGAGAAGCCAGTGAAGAAGCAAAGGAATAATATGAATGATGGTCTGGTTTGCCCAAGTTCATTACTTCTCTGTCTGTTTGGGAAGCAGAAGAAGGAAGGAACTAGATCTCCTGTGCCTGCAATGTTTTCCTTTCCTGACTGCACACTCACTCCAGGAGCTGACCAAGGGTCAAGGGGACTGAGCTGAAATTGGTGGGGGTGGGAGAGCACAGAACAAGAGAGGAGGCTCCTAGAAAGATCCTGGTAATAGAAGGACGGAGGGGAGAGGGAGGAAATTGATGGAAAGATGATCAATCTCCAGGAAACTGGGAGGTTCAGGAGCCCCTAAGGCCTGACCTCCAGGACGTGAGTTTCCACATCCATAAAATGGGGCTAACCCATGTGACACAGGGTCACAGGGAAGGTAAGAGGATGATGCCCGCACACCAGCACCTTACGAACTGAAATGCTCCCGGCTCGTGGGACGGAATCAAGGCTGGTCATCACTGTTTGGGGTATTTTTACCCAGAGACTTCATCACCTCTAGTTGCTGCCAGGGAGGCTGAACTCGCAAATCAGCCACCAAGGCTTGCCAAGAGGACAACCTCAGGTCTACAGTGGCTGCACACAGAGCTCTCGCACACCCCAGGGTAGGCAGAGGTGGGAGACCCAAGTCCTATTGGTAGCTTCACCGAGTGATTCTGGGCTAGTCAGCTCTCCTTTCTATGCCCCAAATCCTGACACATCAAATGGGGAAATGGGATCAGACAACTTCTGAGAGAACTCCCAGCTCTGACATTTTAAGATGTGGTGATTCAATCAGCCCTCCTGCTGTACTTCTTAGATAAATAAAACATAAAACTATTTGTAATCAATTAAACCAGAAACAGTTACCATACTATTAAGTAGATGAACAGACATGAAAAAATAACAAAAGAACTAATAACTGTCAAGTGATATTTTGGACCTTTAATCCCTTTGACTCAGTTCTTAGCCCGATGACACACACACTTTGGCCACGTTAAAGCCCCTTTACTGCCAACGAAGGCTCCAGTTGGGCCAGCCAGCCAACAACGTGCCCTCTCGCTGGCCAGTTCAGAGCACCTCTGCCCTGAGTCTGCCTCCAGCAAATGGGCTCCAGCTGTCAGATGCCTGCGACAGGCGGTGTGCACATGTCCGAGCCTGCCTGGAACTGCAGCCCACCCCGTCATGGAGGGAGTGGGTCACTGAAGCAGAACACATAAAATTA